CAGAGTCTCTTTCGCCCAGGCTGGAGTACAGTGGTGGCGATCTCAGCTCACTGCAACCGCCGCCCCCGGGATTCAAGAGATTCTCCTGCCTCAGCCTCCTGAGTAGCTGGGATTACAGGCGCCTGCCACCATGCCCAGCTAATTTTTAAGTAGAGATGGGGTTTCACCATCTTGACCAGGCTGGTCTTGAACTCCTGACCTCATGATCACCGCCTTGGCCTCCCAAAGTGCTGGGATTACAGGCGTGAGCCACCGTGCCCAGCCAGTTTTATTTCTTTTAGAGACAAACTCTCACTCTTGCCCAGGCTGGAGTGCAGTGGTATGACCTGGGTTCACTGCAGCCTTGACTTCCTAGGCTCAAGTGATCCTCCTGCCTTAGCTTACCGGGTGGCTGGGACCACAGGCACATACCACCAAGGCCGGCTAATTTTTTATTTTTATTTTTAGTAGAGATGAGGTCTTACTTTGTTGCCCAGGCTGATGTCAAACTGCAGAGCTTAAGCTATCCTCCCGTTTGGACTTCCAAAGTGCTGGGATTACAGGCACCAGCCACTGTATCCCACCAGCATTCTCTTTTAAAACATCAGTTGGGCTGGCGTGGTGGCTCACACCTATAATCCCAGCACTTTGGGAGGCCAAGGCAGGCGGATCATTTGAAGTCAGGAGTTCAAGATCAGCCTGGCCAATGTGGTGAAACCCCGTCTCTTCTAGAAATACAAAAATTAACCAGGCAGCAGTGGCACGCGCCTGTAGTCCCAGCTACTTGTGAGGCTGAGGCCAGAGAATCGCTTGAACCTGGGAAGCAGAGGTTGTGGTGAGCCGAGATCGTGCCACTGCACTCCAGCCTGGCAAGAGAGTGAGACAGTCTCAAAAAAAAAAAAAAATCAGTTGGATCTCATTTTATAATAAAGCAATAGAAGGGGGATGTGTTATATGAATAGTAAGTTTACTTATATAAATGAATGTGTGTATAAATATATATATATATATGCACATTTTCTTTTCTTTCTCTCTTTCAGCACTCTGTTTTCTGCAGTGGACACTGATGAAATACCAGCCAAAAGACCAAGATTAGGTACTGAATATAAATTTTAAAAATTTTTAGTTTATTATTAGGAAAAATATATGCATGGAACAAAATTAAAAAGGTAAAAAGCATGCAGTAAAAAGTAAGTCTCGGCCAGTCGCACTGGCTCACACTTCTAATCCTAGCACTTTGGGAGGCTGAGGTGGGCGGATCACCTGAGGACAGGAATTTGAGATCAGCCTGGCCAACATGGCAAAACCCCATCTCTACTAAAAACACAAAAATTAGCTGGGCGTGGTGGCAGGCGTCTGTAATCCCAGCTTCTTGGGAGGCTGAGACAGGAGAATTGCTTGAACCCGGGAGGTGGAGATTGCAGTGAGCTGAGATCGTGCCACTGCACTCCAGCCTGGGGTGATGAGCAAGACTCCGTCTCAGGGAAAAATAAAAAAAGTAAGTCTCTTTCCTAGCCAGATGTGGTGGCTCAGACCTCTAATCCCAGCACTTTGGAGGCTGAGGTTGGAGGATCACTTGAGGTCAGGAGTTCGAGACCAGCCTGGCCAACATGGCAAAAACCGATCTCTACTAAAAATTAAAAAATTATCCAGGTGCTGCTGGGCGCGGTGGCTCAAGCCTGTAATCCCAGCACTTTGGGAGGCCGAGCCGGGTGGATCACGAGGTCAAGAGATCGAGACCATCCTGGTCAACATGGTGAAACCCCGTCTCTACT